AGCTCTAGGTTCATTCCCCAGTATCACCAAAAAGAAAAACTTTCTGTCCATAAGGACAATCTCCTTAGCATAGCATTTGAACTTAAACCAGTGGTTCTCTCCCCAGGAGACTAGTTTCCCCATCTAGGAGGTGTTGACAGACCTGGAGACAGTGTTGACTGCCACACTGAGCAGGGAGTGCCTTGGAATCTGGCAGCTAAAGGTTAGAGATCATCAATATCGTCCTTGGTATATGTCTGTAATCCCAGCACTCAGAGGCTGAGGCAGGAGGATTGCTGCAAGTTCAAAGCCAGTCAATGCTAAATAGTTTAAGACTAGTCTGAACTACATAATGAAACACTGTCTCAAAAAACCAAACCAAAACAAAACAAAAATTAAACCTTGAGGGCATGGGATAGTTCCCCACTGCCAAGAGCCTTGCAGTCCCAATGTCCAGTGCTGAGACTGAGAAACCCTGGTCTACAGTAAGATTCTGCAGGAGAGGGCCAGGGATGTGGCTGAGTGGCACAGCACCTGCCTGACAAATGCAAGGTTGTGAGTTCAAATACCCGATACCAAAAACCAAAGCAAAACAAGATTCTGCAGGAGAGAATAAAGGACCGGAAAGTCAGATACCCCAACTCCAGAACTCTGCAGTCTCAGGTGCTTTTGCAGCCCCCCTTCTGCAAGGCTGCTGACTGACTGGCTCTTTGTCCCAGTCATCTTATTTCCCTGTCCTTTGTGAGCTGCAGAAGGCCATTCAGTCAGTGGATCTTATCATGATAGGTGCACCCAGCTTCGGCCCCAGTCCCTCACCCCTGATAGGCTTGTGTGTAGCATTTTCCAAACAAGTCCTTTTCTTCCAGCCACAGAGAAATGTGACATGACATTTTCTAAAATCGTCACTTTGTAAAAATGCCAAGACTAATCTCAAAGTACAAAGAGCATTGTGGAAATCAAAATTGACTGAAAGAGTCACGGCCAGTGAAGCCTGGATTTAAATGGCAACACCGTGGCCTTGTGTGTGTGGTGGTTGTTTCCCAGTTAATATTGCTCAGGAAAGATGAGGATTTCCTGGCTAACTCATGACCTGTTGCCAGTTTAAGGGTTGCAGGTAATCTTTTGGCTCTAGAAACGCCCTGGACCTCATGTCTGCTGTTATTTTCAAGAGGTCTGTGGCTGGGGGTGGGCTGTTAAGCAGAGGCAGAAGTTAGTTGGTTTTTCCACTTTTCCACTGAAGAAATCAGTGACTGCAGGGAAGCCCCCATGTAACTACTGATGAAACCATTCCTCCTGTATTTGCATGCACTTAAAATGCTGGGAAGTAAGCACAAGTTGGGCCTCTTGAAGAAAAAGCAGCAATCAGAAATTGTGGTTGGGTGTGAACTGTGGAAGTCCTCTGGGCTGTGGTCCATCCAGTGCTTGGATCTATATAAGCAGGCATGATTTAAGGAGAAGAGTGAGGAGTCTGGTTGCCAGGCAGTAGTTCCCATGGCTTGGAAAGCACCAGTGGGTTGGCTGTGCACCCCTAAAGCCATGGGCCAGCACAGAAGGGACCAGAAAACTGGTCTTCCTCTGTCTTCTGTTGCTGAGCCAGAAAAGGAAAAACTCGCAAGAACCCCAAAGCTTTCAAAGGTGCTGGGGGATCCACAGGGCTGCTCATGCTGAGACAGGCTGATTTGTTAGCAAGATGTGAAGAGGTCATTTTGACTCTCAGATAGTGCTGGAAGTGAATTGAAGGTCAGCTCTTTGGAACCAAGCAGCACCAAAAAAAGAGAGCAAGTGGACGTTTTCCTGCGAGGTGGTGGGAAGCCAGAGGCAGTCTCAATTGAAGCTTAAAGTCAAAACGGTGTCCTCATATCTCCCATTTCTTCCACTGGGGAAGGGCACTTTATCACCCAAGGGTGTGAATCAGCCTCCAGAGCTGGGTGCCTGGGCTCAAATCCTAGCTTTGCTGCCCTGAAGCTGTGCTTCACTTTTCTCACCCATAAAATGTGCACAGGAGTACCTACCTCACAGGGGTGTCTGAGAATTAGAGTTAGGCAGCCTTTTCTTGGAATATTCTTCTTCCTTTGCAGTGCTAGGGGATTAAACCCAGGGCCTTGTGCACGCCAGGCAAGTGTTATCCACTGAGCTATAATCCCAACCCTGTACGCAGCGCTTAGAGCCCCAGTGTCTACACATAGTGAGCTCAGTGTGACTCACTGTTGCCACTGCTGTGATCATTTTGCTTTCTTGCTCCAGATCAGAAACAGAAGAACTAAGCTCATTAGCTCTATCTACTTTTTCTTTTTCTTTTCTGTTTTGCAGTATGGGAGATTGAACCTAGATCCTTCTCACTGAGCAACATCCCCAGTCTTTTATATATTTTGAAACAGGGTTTCACTAAGTCACCAAGTTGCCCAGGGTAGACTCAAAATTGTGATCCTCTTCCCTCAGCCTCCTAGAATGCTGGGATTATAGGGATGCACTATCACATCCAGCTTGTATCTGAATTTCACACGTACTCTTACTTCTGAGCTATGTAGAATCATGGCAGTCTTTTGGGTTTGTACAGTTTATATTGTACATGTGTCAGTCAAGATGGGTAGATTGTGCTTGGTAACAAGCAGTCCTGGTGGCTCAACCCTTCCCAAGTCTGTGTTTTTGGTTCATGTCCAGTGAACTCTGGTGGTGGGGATGGGGTTATGTTCATAGTGTTCACTCAGAAGCCCTGGCTGTCAGAGGCTTCATCTTAACATGTATCCACCTCTACCAGGCTGGATCACAGAAAATTCTCTCCTGCTCTGTCTGCTGCTGTGTTTCACAAGCCTGAATGTTTTTGTTTTGTTTTGTTTTTATGACAGGGTCTCACTACATAGTTCAGGCTGGCCTTGAATTCTTGGTGATCCTCTGCCCTCAGTCTCCCCAGTGGTGGGATTATAGGCCTTCACCTGCCAGGCTGTGGATGAATGAATGAATGAACAAATGTCTATCTTCTCCCACTAGAACTTATACTCTGAGAGCTTAGGAGCCTTGTTTGCTTTGTATCAATCACTTGGCACAGGCAAATTGCTGAATACATGTTTGTTGAATGAATGAGTAAGTGCCATGTCTCACAGTGCTCAGTTTCTCTGAGTCTCAGGCAAATCTCCCATGAGGCTCATCTAAATGGAGGGAAGAGTGGACTCACCTACCTGCAGTTTGTGCAGCTATCTTCTTCACTTGATGGCAGACAGGGTTCCCTCAGAGAACAGCTTCGTGATGAGGGAAGAGTCATTGGAGGTGACTCTAAAGTGTCTTAAATTCACCACATCTGCACCTTTTGTGGCTCCCACTCACAGGCAGGCCCTGGCTTTCTTCCAAGAACGCAGGCCACCCCTCCTCCCAGGCCCCTTGCTCCGTGGTCTTTCTTTCCCTTTTCTTCCTTTTGGAGCCATTGTGGCTATTGCCCAGGACTCTGGGCCCTGATTTGGGTGAGTTGGACCCCAGGCTCACCTGCATATGTACTATAGTGCAGCTCCGGGCAAGTTACATCCTCTCTCTGTGATGGTTCCTTCCTATCTGAGCCGGTTCCTCACCCAGAAATGAGGATGAGATTGGGACCTGTCCCCTGGACGCTTTGGAGGGGTTACACAATTCATGGATGTGAAGTGCTTCAAACAGGAAGTTCTGTGTGGTGTACACTGTGGTGTGGTGGCGCGGTGTGATTGTGGAGCACGTAATCAGCACATGTGTCTTGTATTTCTAGACTGGAGGATTTCAAACTTCTTAACTCTGTTGTGCTCCCTTCATGTGAACCCTTACAGACCTCCCAGGAGATAAAAGAATCTAAGAGGCATGCTGTCCGTACTGGGGATAAGTGTCCTGGAAGGTCTCAGACCCCTTACACTCCCCCTGGACAGCTAGGGAACAGTGCTTTTCAATGATCCCTCACAGAGCCCACCTCGGGCCCAGCAGCAGTGCCCCATTATTAAAAATGCAACCTTGGGGTCCCTGCCTTGAGCTCCTGGGTGCCTTGCTCTAGGGGTGTCACTGGGGGTCCTGCACTGTAGCACAGACTTCAGGTGACTTCAGCATATAGAATCTGCACCCCGGCTGTTGAGCACTGAGTACCATGAGGAGGCCGCCACCAGCTGTATCCTCTGCACCTGTCCAAGGAGACCTCGTAGCTACACTTTCCCGCTGCTGTCAAGGAGCCACCCATGGGGTATCTACAGTGCTGTGCAGATCCCCTGTTCCTTTCTGCCCTGAGGACAGGGAAAAGAAGGGTGGCACCCAGCTGGGGAAGCTGCACTGCAGACTGTAGGGTCCTTTCATTGGCTGACACTTCGTGGTTACCCACCGGCACCTGCTGCCGCCTGGCTCCCCCACCATGGTTGACTATTACCCAGGTCTGGAATGAATTCTACAGATTTCTGAACCCTAGACAGAGTATGGTGCTGTTCTTTCCCTGCCCTGAATAATTTCAGATCAGAACAGTACTAAGTCTTAGCCAGGCGTGGTGGTACACACTTGTCAGCCCAGCACTCTGGGAGGCTGAGGTAGGATGATCACAAGTTTGAGCCCAGCTTGGGCAACTTAATGATTTAGTGATTTAGTGTTTAAAAAAGAAAAGAAAAGGAAAACAACAACAACAAAGGGATGGGAGGTGCAGCTCACTGTAAAGGTCCTGGGTTCAGTCCCCAGGATTGGGAAAAAAAATAGGTCAAGATCAGCATGTTCTGATTTTTCCCATGAAGATTACCCTAAGGCTTTCAAAAAACAAACAAACAAACAAACAAAAAAAAGATTTCCGACCTGGGGCTGTAGCTCAAGAGGTCCAACACTTGCTGAACGTATGTGAGGCCCTGGCTTCAGCCCCCAGTGCCACCAAGTAAAAAGTTGTAAGAAGGATTTAAATTCCACTCAGACCAGCTTTCCCTCCTTTTCTTTTGGAGGGATCGCTTGCTCTGCTCCCCATGAGGGGTACCCACCTCAGGAACTGCTGGACAGTCATGAGCTGTGTCCTAAACCTATCTTGTTCCACCCTCGCCCCACAGGCCTGGATGGGATCCAGTGCTCCCTGCCCACTGAGAGCCGGCGGGTGGCCCTGCGCGAGCTGTCTGAGGCCAGCTTCAGCGAGTGCAAGTTCAGCCTGTCGCTCACGGACCTGTGCATCATCATCTTCTCGGGCGTGGTTGTGTCCATTGCCGCCATCATCTCCAGCTTCTTCCTGGCCACTGTGGTGCAGTGTTTCCAGAGGTGCGCCCCCAACAAAGATGCCGACGACGAGGACGAGGATGAGGACGACTGAGCCCCCTCTTCTGCTCTTTCCTTACTCTCCTAGCCTCACCAGTGGTGCCTCTGTTAGACAGAAATGCTGAAAACAGAAAAGCATCGGCCACCATCCATGAGCAGGACACAGCCTGCTCCATGTCTGGGACCCTGGGAGCCTGCTGCAACCCGGATCTCGGAGTTTAGCATCAGCAGAGAGAAGAAGCCCAGACAAGATAGAGGTCCCCTCGCAGAGCCCACCTAGGGCGCAGATGTGTATGGGGGGCAGGTGGCCAAGTCAGGCTCCGTGGCTGCTGGCAGAAACCCTCTCGAGGAGATAGGAAGACTTGTGGCCTCCAACTGTAAGGATGCTTGTACTGGTCTTTCTCTGATCTGCACTGGAAGACCACAAGCCATCTCCTTCCTCCCAAGAGACAGTAGCTCATCAGCAGAGAGTCAAATTCAAGTTCAAACCATTCTCCATGGGAACAGGAAATCTCCTCTTCATATACTAGGCTCGGCAACCTTGGGATTTTATAGGAGAACAAATAAACTTACACACAATAGACAACGTTTGTGCCCCCACTCCCATGCCTCGATGATGGTATTTTGAGGTGAGGCCTTTGGGGTGTGATGATGGTGTCCTCCTGAGTGGCATTAGTGTCCTTAGATTCCAGAGACCCAGGGGCAGAAGCAGCAGGAAGGTGGCCATCTTCTAACCAGGAAAGGGCCCTCTCCAGATCCCAGCTGTGCTGGTGCCCTCCTCGCCCACTCCCAACCTCCAGAACTTCGAGAAATAAATGTCTATTGTTTATAAGTTGCGCAGCCTGTGGTAGTTTGTGATAACAGCCACATGGGCTAGGATACAGCGCTTAGCTAAAATGGCACCAAGGACAAAGCTAAGAACCAGCTGCAGGGCATTGGTTAGTGAACTCTGGAAAACAGTTTGGGAAAACTGTTGATGTAACTCAAACCCTGCTCCTTGTCCTAAGAGGTAGTGCCTTGCAACAGAGGGACAATTGTTTTGTCCAGTTGTCACAGTCGCTTTGCTCAGAGTCCTCTTCCCTCTGTGGTGCAGTCCCAAGTCTCTGCTCAGCCACTAATCCTTGGTCATTCTCTGTGCTGGTACAGTTCCAGAGGTATCCTCTGTGGAACTTTTGGTAAACTTTCCTTCAGTCAGGATTCCAATGCGCAGGCTTCACTGGGCCAATAAAATGTTACTTCCTCCCACACACATACACATGCACAAAATCCCCACAGGAGCCAGGCATGGCAGCATGCACCTGTAATCTCAGCACTCTGGAAGGTTCAGGCAGGAAGATTCCAAATTTGATCCCAGTCAGGGCTACCTAGTAACTTAGTGAGGCTCTGCCTCAAAAAGGATGGAGGATGTAGCCTGGTGAGAAGGACCTGAGTTCAATCCTCAGTACCATGAAAACAAACCAGAAAATTCCCACTGGAACTCGGCCTCTGAATGACCTCCCTCTGTGGCCTCAGGGTGAATGTGACATTTCTTGGAAATATAGGCTGTGACAGGCGGGGCTCTCCAGGATGTGGCATGCAGCACTTTGGTTGGAGACAGTGTGATACAAGCAAATTGTGCACCCTAGTGGGTTGATGCAAGGTGACTGGGAGACTGAGCCAGAGCTCATGAGATGCCTGTGATTCTTTGGAGAACCAGGTTCAATCCCCAGTACCTTCTCTTTTGCTGCTCATAATACCACTTCTGTTTTCTCCTCCCACTGTCCCTTCTGTCTTTGCTTCCACAAATAATTATTGAGTATGTGCTAAGTGCCAGGTACAGTACAGATAGTGTGGGTAATGCATTAAATAATAAAGATGGAACTGGTTGTGGTGGTGTACACCTGTAATCCTAAAACTTTGGGTGGCTGAGGCAGGAGGATTACATGTTTGAGCTCATCCTGGGCAACTTAGCAAGACCTTGTTTCAAAATAAAAGATACAAAGGATTGGAAGTGTAGCAAAGGCCCTGGATCTAATCCTCAGGAACAATGAAATAAAAGCCCTCTCCAGCATCCACTCGAGTGAATGAATTGCAGGTCTAACCTGTCTTGTCATCAACTTGAGCCATATGTAAGCATCCTCACAACTCCAGGGAAGACCTCTGTATTGATTTGTATATGAGGAAACCAAGGTTTGGGGAAGGTACACAGAGTGCAGGAGGAAACAGGGCTAGAACAGGCTAGGGCCTGGTGATGCCCAAGCCTGCGCTTGGTTATGAGAGACCTCTGTGCTGGGTGCTGGGCTAAGCCCTTTGGGTAGATTTCATCCTTAAACCACTCATATGTTCTGCAAGGCAGGTACCATTATCATCGCTTCTTGAAGGCTCCCGTGCCTCAGTTTATCCTGGAGTCAGCTGATTTGAGTCTGGGAATGACTTGCCAGCAGACACAGCCAGAAGGTGAGGGACTAGAATTTGGTTACAGATGCTGTGACAGGTAGGATGGAAGAAACAAAGATTGGTAGGAAAGAGACAAGAAAATCATAATTTTGAGAAAATTGCAGCTTTAAAATACAGTCAAAGCCCCCCCCCCAAGGTCACAGTGCCCTTCACTCCCTAGACCTGTTTTGCTTTCCTTACTGGGTCCTCACTTGTACATTCCTAAGAGTATTAAGAATACTGTAGCTGGGTGTAGTGTACACACCTGTAACCCTAGCACTCAAGAGGCTGAGGCAGGAGGATTGCCATGAGTTCAAGGCCAGCTTGGCCTACAAAGGCCTACAAAGTGAATTCAAGGCTCTTCTGAACTGCATAGCAAGACTGTGTCTCAAACAAACAAACAAACAACAACAAAAAAACCCCTCAAGTCCATAAATTTAGCTCATGTTTTTCTTCCAATACTATAAATCCATAAATCCTAAAGACTTCTGCCCTCAAAGAAACAGCACTGTTAGTTGGCTCCAAACTTCAAACACATAAACATGGTTTGCAGATTTGCATTATAACCTAAAGGACAGTGAATTTTGAGTTAGCCCACTAATTGAGTACCCTGGCAGGGACTAAATAAGTAACTCAAAGTATAAACACCCTAGATCATCTGTCTTGAAGACACCCCACGACCACATAAATAGCCCCACTTCCACACCACGGTATCTCTCACCCCTTGAATGCTGTGTTCTTTTCTCTGAATATGTGGGGTTTTATTTCTTTTCTCTTTTTTGTGATACTGGCAATAGAACCCAGAGCCTTTGCACTGAGCTACATTCCCAGCCTGGTTTAGTTTTCATTTTGAGACAAGGTCCCGCTGAGTCACTGTTTCCCCGGGCTGGTCTTGCACATGTCATCCCCTGCCTCAGGCTTCCAGTGTACTGCAATTATAGGTGTGAGTGTGTGTGTCTTTGATTTTGTCTGATAAGTGTGCTTTGGCCTCTCTTTGATGCTTTTTGGGATGGTATTCTGAGAACCTGCCCTGGGTGAGTTTAGATCTCCGTCTCCTCTTTAGGGGCACTTTCTCAGGCCCCATCTGGTAGCGTGACCACTGCCCCACACTGCCATTCTCCATCCAACCATATTCCCTTCTCAGGCCAGCAGGAGCAGTCAGGCGGGGTGAATGGAGTGACATATCTGGGACTGTGTGTGGTTCCTGAGAAAGCAGCTTGATATTGCTGTGAAGCCAGGATAGTAAACTTTCAGTCCTCACATTCAACACTGCAGACCCCTCGCAGAGAGTCAAAGCCATCACAAGGTCTTGTATTGTGGTCTTTCTTTCCTTCAAATGGGACACCCAAACCAAATGCAGTGGCACATGCTTGCAATCCCAACTACTTGGGAGACTGAGGCAGGAGGAGCCCAAGTCTGAGGCCAAACTGACCAACTTGGTAAGAACTTGTTTCAAAATAAAAATTTATAAAAGGATCCAAGGATTGTAGATTAGACCTCAGTGGGTTCAGTGCCCAATACAAAAAAAGAAAAAAAAGAGCTGATCAGAGGATCCTGATAGACAAATTATTTTATCCTACTCTGATGATCTGATGATACCCTATACCACCGATGGTACCCTGTACCACTGCTATACCCTGGCCAAGAGGGGTCCTGTACTTTCCAGTGTCTTCTCCTGGCCTCCTCCAGCTGGCCTCTTCTTGAGGGAGTGACAGTGCATGGAATCAAGGGCACGTGACCACACAGAACTAATGCACCCTTCTGGAGCATTCTCTGGGTACTTGGGCCCCAGAATTTCCTGCACAAAGAACCCCAGTATCCAGTGTGGTGCTCTTTCCAGCATCTCTCCTCCAGGGCAGGCATTTTGGCAGAATGTGTGAACAGAAGTAGGATTTGCAGGCTGGGAGGCTGCACAGATGTACAGGGACCCAAAGGTGCAGGATTGGGGCAGGGACAGAGGAAAGAGGAGGCAAGAGGCCTCAGATAGTTTAGGTGTCTCCATGTTGTCATGTCTTGGGCAGATTCCCAGGAATTGGAGACTTTACCATTTAAATTCGGTCTCCCTAAGTCATAAAGAAGGGAAGTTGACGAGATGAGCGGCTGCAACATTTGCTGCGATAGTTGGTCTTTGTGCTTGATGTGTGTTTAGACTTAGGTGGATACGGTTATTTGTACCTTTGTCCTGGCTCCACAGGTGATACAGCTGGGTTTGGGGCTAAAGCCAGATGCCCTGGCTCCTGCCTCAGGACTGGGTCTGGCTTCTCCCGTGGGTGATCCATACTGGCCTTTGTATCACGACAAGGGCTGAGAGAGACTGGTGCATGGGTTGCCTTTCCAGTGATCAGCATAGATTTACAGTGAATTTCCCATCCAGCTCTGCTGCCTCCTGGGCACCTTCTCCTCCTCCCCCTCGTTCTGAGACCTGGATGGGTGCAGTCAGGGGTTGGCAGGGGTTGGTGTTTTCACCTCTATTGAATCTAAAGGACATCACAGCTGTGAGTCTCATTTCCTTCTTGCCACCAACTTAGACAGCTGCCAGCCCTGTGTTTTGGCTGTAAGTCATTTTAGTGGCCTCTAGTGGCCTAGCTGGGTAACTAGTTTCTTATTTGCAAAGAGGTCTGCTTAAACCCTGCACAATGAACCCTCCCTGAAGCAAGACCCTGTGGGTTTCATTTGCTTGCTGCCAACAAGGTCTCTTTGTTCTTTTAATCCCAGGTTAATAAACACATATCCGAACTTTACATGGCTTTTGCACAGAAAGGATAGTTTAAATATAAAAAAGAATACTGTTCTCCGCTCTTGGCAAAGGCAACCTGTTTTTTGCAAACATACCTTTTCTAAGCATAAGTGAGTTATTGTATTTTAGCCTTGGGAAAAAAAAATACAAAGTGCCTTTTTGAGAAAACTGCACAGCCATGTTCAGGGTCATTGGTGGCGAACTCATTTATTCTCTGGATTTCTACCAGAAGCTAAACTGGGAGCTGGTTTTCTAAGGATGGTCCTTTCTGAGTACAGCAAATGCCCATCAATGCCAAAGGATCCCTTGGGGCAGTGGAGAGCCAACTGACAAATGGATACCCCACTGTCCTCACAGCCTAGTGGCCATGGCTATGTTACCGACCCCTCTGGGGCCACAGAACCTACTTCGGAGGGCAGAGCCACTGAGCTCTCGGCAGTGCTGGTGGGGTTCAGGTGAGGTAAAAAGAGGGCTCACTTGCAAATGTGGGCTTCTTCCTTACCACCTCCTGTCCTCATCCTAGAGAGCCCTACGGACCCCCAGAGCTCTACAGCACCCCCAGGTGTCCAGAAAAAGGGGAGGTCTCGAGAGAGGAACCTGTCCTCCAAACGTCAACATCATGCCTGGCTCCTCTATCTTACTGCTGTGGCCTAAGGATGGGCTGCCCTTGGGCTCAGTCATCTG